TGAATGCAATGACATTGTAGCGTGTTGAAGCCACTTCGGTATGACGTGATGCCTAATTTCCTGGTTGTACCAAAATTGCGAGTATGCAAGTGATCGTCAAGCCTGCCCCTGTACAGTAGCCGTCTTGCCTTGTTACGCCTGGTTCTGACTCTGCGTTCTCGTATACTCCATGCAATGTTACAAGGAATACTGCTCCCTTCTCAAGCAATTCATTGGCAACAAAACGCTCGGCTATGCCCTGTAACTTTGCTGTGCGGTTTGTGCTTTGTCAATGTTGTGTACCAGTTCATGATCTGTGCTTGCTGGTCTGTTTGTTTTCTCTCGCACAATTGAGGCGCTGTAGCACAGTGTACAGTGTCGATCATCCTGCCCAGGCTCTGATTTCACGTACCACAGTACGGTTTCTCTTGTTGCTCACTGTAATGTGCATGATACAAGCTCCTTGGTACTCCATCATCACCTGGTGCTGTTGCTGCCATTGTTGGACGCTGCTGATATCCTTCTCGCAATGCCCGAACGTTGTTCCAACAAATGCACAACTCGCTCTTAGTTGTCACATTCGGTTTGGTCTCGTTCCAGTCTTTCGAATTGAGTGAGTGCGTAAACTTGTATGAAGTGGTGAAGCAAAAGCCGTGCGCCGGCAAACATTCAATGTCCGGGTGTAATGACGCACCAAGGTCCCGGGACTTGTGTCCAATTCCTGAGTGATTTTTGTGTGCCTAGCCTCTAGGTATCATACCATATTTGTTTGGTTCAACCGTTTTGGATGCCCACTGCAATACCATTCACTGTATTATGTCACATTTATGTGTGTATGTTATCCAAGAAATCTCCCATATTTTTGGGTGGACAAACCTCGCCATAAGTCAGTAACCTGGCATTTTGCACTAACAGAACTCCTAGGATATCAGCGCCGTCTCAGTACCTGGGGACAGTTGTAAAGAAAAAGAAAAAATATCCTTGGCCCACAATGCCCCACTAAATAATCCGAAGGGTGTCGCGAAGACGACAATTTCCTTACCTTTCTTTCGTGGACGAAAAAAGACACTTCGCTTCGTCCGTTGCGCATGAAACGAAACATGAGGGTAGTGTTTATCAATTAGAATAGGTATCATGCACGAAGGAATGGCGAAAAGGTACTATGCTCGAGCGCTGGTCGTCGTCTTGTTTGTCAATTTTGAGTCCCATTGAGAATTTTCTTCTCCAGACCTCTCAAATTTCCCGCGGTTGCAAATAAAAGTGCAACTTCTAGATAGTCCGGGAGCTGAAATCTGTAGGATGCTTTTTATTTTCGGGGTATGCCACTTCAGAGGGAGGACTTGAAACTTCGCACAGAGGTAGGTAAGGGTCTCTAGAGGACGATTTGAGAACTTGGCCGTCCCGAAGCTGTGCACCAATGCCGGTGCAAGGAGGTTTGTTCGCTCGTCGAACACTATTTCGTTGCCGTGATTTCACAGTTTTTGCGCCATTCAGCGCTTGAAAAATGGGGAAATCAGCGGGTTTCGCTGACGTAACCAGACATTTTCATGCGAATGACTCAATTTTGCTAGATTTTCAAGAGAAACACAAAGAAACACGAAGCGAAACGCAAAGTCACACCGTCGATGAAGCATTTTTCATTCTGTTTGTATAATTGTGTCGTTCTGAGTTCTGAAGTAACATACAGTAGCTGGTTCGTCGTCGGAGGACATGACTGGTGTTCCTGAGATTGTCGTGCGTAACGGCTAAATGACTTGCCACTTGACCCTGATGTCGACAGGCAGGTCTCTTAGGAACTGTCCGTCTCCATCGAGGTGACTCTGGATTGTTTTTACCAATAGTGTTTTGTAGATTGATCCTCACTACAAACAAGAGTACTCCTGCTACAAACGATTTCATGCTAGTCAATGAGCGGACTGACAACGTGTGTCAAAGGTGGTAAGGTACACACCATGGCAGCTGCCTTGAACGGAATCTTTGATTATACCAGTGAACGTAGAAATGCATGACTTATCTTGAATAACGTCTCTTTGAATCATTGTTTTGTTGAAGTTTCGGATGCTGCACAATGACATGCGCGTACGTGGAAGCATTCACATTGTAGAAGATCATGGGATGATTATTTCCCTACTTCATTCAGTCCTTTGTGTGGTAAATTGAGTAGTAGTAGACGTAGTATATTAATTTTAGGAATTTCCGCAAACGCAATCAGTAAATGTGGCGGTAACATGTAGAATATAATCATTTTAAAACTACAGCTACGGTGCATCATATTTATGTGAACAAAGGCTGAATGCAGATATGTAAACAGTGTCTTGGACGCGATATGCATCGGCACCGCCATCGGCACCACCGCATACATCCAGGCAAGACGATGTAGCGCAATATCTGTGTTGAACGGTTTTTGATCCCTTCATCATGGAGAATAGTATCCATTCTTCATCCGGTTTGCGATCCTCTGCTCTGTGCTGCCAACGACGTCCACTTGTTGCTCACATGTGTAGTGCTGCTGAGCGGGTTGCCACATTCGGACATGCATCGGCGAGTACCGTAAAAGCCCGTAATAAGGCCCTGGGCGGAAGCGTTAGTGACGGTCCAGAACATGGGCGCTAATGATTGGGTTGTCACATTCGGACATGCACCAGCAAGTATAGTGTAGGGTTGGGGTGACCCGTTGCACTAGAAGCATCCAGTGCTGTAACCTTTGCGATGTTTGCAGCTATGCCGAGCAGTTATCTCCTGGGTTCCGACTGCTGCTCCGTGGAGATGATAGTAGGGCACTAGACAGCGGCTTTGTAAATTGCCATTCTGGAATGCTACCTCAGAGCAGCCGATGATGGTGACGTTCTTGCACAGCATGTTGTTGGTACCACAATCACAGCAAGTTCACTGGTGATGATTAACTTCTGGCCGCGTGTTGCATGTTTCTGAGATTCGTAGATAATGACGCGCGTGCATGAGTGTGTGTGTTTATATGTATGTATGCGTGTGAGCATCTGCATGTGCGCATCCACGTGTGTGTGTGCGCGCGCGCGTGTGTCGTGCACATGTACACGTGTATGAGCGTGTGTGTGTGTGAGCATTTGCATGTGCACGCGCGCGTGTGTCGTGCACATGTACATGTGTATGCGTGTATGTGTGTGTGAGCATTTGCATGTGCGCATCTACCTGTGTGTATGTGCGTGCAAGCGCGCACTCGTGTGTGTGCGTGCACATGTACACGTGTATGCGTGTGTGTGTGTGTGAGCATTGGCATGTGCGCATCCACCTGTGTGTATGTGCGCACGCGTGTGTGTTGAATGCGTGCATGTTCGCACACATGTATGTGTGTGTGTGTGCGAACAGAGAGTCACATGTGTGTGTGTGCGTGTGTGTGCACTCATGCACACTCGCACACATGTGAGTACACGCTTGCGCGCGTGTGTGGGCGTGCGCGCGTGTACACAAGCTCGCACACATGCATGTGCGCGCATCCACCTGTGTGTGCGCGCGCGCGTGTGTGTCGTGCACGTGTACATGTGTATGTGTGTGTGAGCATTTGCATGTGCGCATCCACCTGTGTGTATGTGCGTGCAAGCGCGCACGCGTGTGTGTGCGTGCACATGTACACGTGTATGCGTGTGTGTGTGTGTGAGCATTGGCATGTGCGCATCCACCTGTGTGTATGTGCGCACGCGTGTGTGATGAATGCGCGCATGTTCGCACACATGTATGTGTGTGTGTGTGTGTGCGAACAGAGAGTCACATGTGTGTGCGTGTGTGTGCACTCATGCACACTCGCACACATGTGAGTACACGCTTGCAAGCGTGTGTGGGCGTGCGCGCGTGTACACAAGCTCGCACACATGCACGTGCGCGCATGTATGTTCTATCTTGTTATGTTGCCTATCCCATGCTCTCCTTTGGTGCTGCCACGTAGACGTCTGTCGTAGTTCCTGTCAGAAGTGCATGTGGAACTGGCAGTGATTGTCATTCTACCTTTGTTTCAAACAACGTCTCGTTTTCGAGTTACATGATCTCTCACAGGATCCACAAAGTATTTTGTGCAAAAGTAGCTAGGCTCACCTGAACCAGTGAAGAACGAGTACCGGAACAAACAAGCTGGCAAACTGCAACGGAGTTGACACCACCAGCAGATAAATAGGCCAGGCAGAGTACCGACATGGGTGATGATGATCTTGCACGTCCGGTGACTGGTCACTGGTGCATACGGCTGTGGCACTGGCAGTCAGGACTCAGGGACGCGGAGGCCGACTTGTCAGCAAGCAACATCTCGCCTACTCTGCCGGAATCTTCGCTCGACTCGACCTCAGTCAGACCTGGAAATATACTTTTGAAACTTTGCTTGCACGCGTTGCAGAATTGCCGGAGTAGGCGCGAGTATTATTGTGCACTATTGCTGGTACACACTCTATGTTGCGCTTTTGTCCAGAAGCGCCATGCTTCGTGACTAGTGGACCTGACGATGGCAATACTATTCTCAC